CACCGGGCTCCTGGCCAAGTCCAGAAACACCGGGCTCCTGGCCAAACTCCTCGCTGTCGGAAGGCACCGAAGGCTGCACCAGAGGGGAAGGGCCGGGAGAGAGGGACCTAGCCATCTCCTCTCCGTCATGTTCAGAGCCTTCCTCCTCTGATGAGAGGGACCCACCGGACAGAGCCACAACAGGTACGGAGGGTTTGTATGATCAGAAAAAGCGTATAAAGGAGGGGCAGAGAGGAGGAGGACAGAGAGTATGCTGTGGTGGAAGATGGGGGGGATAGTAGGGCCAGCATGATAGGCAATAGAGATGGGGGGAGGGAAGGAATGGAGGAAGGACAGAGTAACAACGGGGGGAATGAGAGCCGAGTGGAGGTGGAAGAGAGGAGGAGGGAAGCAAAGGGATGGGCGAGGAGGGTAGCAAAGGGGCCCCAGGGAATGAAGGACAGCAACCGGACTGGAAGTGAGGAGGATGGACAAAGGGAGGGGGATAGGGAGCAGGGGGCAGCGGAGCCGACAACACAGTGAAGAAAAGAGGATAGGAAGGGGGAGGAATTGGAGGATACGGGGAGTTCGTATGAACAAAAAAGGGGGGGCAGAGCGCGCCGGACCCAAGGCCACAGGCAGAGGCAATTAAGAACATCACGCACATAGGCAGGGGAGGCAGAAGATTAGCTACCGGTGTGAAGGCTGCAATTAAGGCGCAACCCAATCGCCTGGGACCCGTGACGAGGTCCAGGAGCCGGGCGCAGATGATGGGTGGCTTATAAAAAAGGGCTCTCCCATCGACTGGCACGTAACCCTGACGATGTCGGAAGGAGTCCGACAAAAGCTTGGTGTATTTATGTTTTATGTTTTGTGTTATTAAACTTTTTTAGTTTGATATACTCCTGGTGCTCACAGTTTGCTTTTTGAAGATGATCACACCCAGGAGTCACGATCACCAGGAGGATCACCCAGGAGTCACATTTTTACGGACATTATCTATCATTATTATGATAGAGCAGTATTGCTCGGGGCCAGAAAATGGGAAAAACTCAGGGTGGAGGAGGATGAGATGATGGTATCTTTTGATGTTACCTCACTCTTCACCTCCATCCCTCAGAAGTTCGCCATCTCTGTCCTGAGAGATCAGTTGACAGACAAAAAGGAGAGTCATTACCAGAACTCCCTGCAGACCGAAGATCTTGTGAGACTAGTGGAAGTATGCCTGACAACCTATTTTACATTTCAGGGAGATATATATGAACAGGTCAAGGGCACACCCATGGGTTCCCCCATTTCCAGCATCATAGCAGAGGCAGTGCTTCAACAATTAGAGCGTCAGGCAATGACCCTATACCAACCCAGGTTTTGGGTTCAGTACATGGACAACATGTTTGCTGTTGTTAAAAAACAACATGTAGCTAGCTTTGTGGGAATACTGAATTCAATTTATCCTGATATAAGATTCACGGTGGAGGAAGAGAAGCAAGGTCTTTTAGCTTTCTTAGATGTGCTGATCCACCGCCAGCCGGATGGGTCATTACACACAAAAGTCTACCGTAAACCCACCCATTCGGACAGGATCCTCCACTACAGGAGTAACCACCCGGTGTCCCACAAGGTTAACTGCATTAGAGCTTTATTTAAGTGCGTGGACTCCCACTGCAGCATGGTTGGATCCAAAACGGAGTGGATATCCCATAAAATTCATAAAGCGGCACTGTGTAATACCCAAACCCCGCAACAATCTACAGAGGGATGGGTCATTACCACAGAAGACACGCATCTCCTTACCCTACATCAGCAACGTTTCTGAGGCAACAGCCAGACTCCTGGCCCCCTATGATATAGAGGTGGCCCACAAGCCCAATCAAACGCTGCGTTCCAAAATTATGCGCCCCAAGGACCCACTCCCCGCCATGGAAAGATCGGCGGTGGTTTACAAAATTGACTGCAAGAACTGTCAAAGCAATTATGTGGGCGAAACATCTAAACGGTTAAAAACCCGTTTACATGAGCACAAATTGGCCGTAAGAAGGGGTGAACAACACTCTCAAGTGTGGACGCATATGGCGGAACGCGGCCATCAATTTGATTTTGACAATACACGGGTCATATCCAGTGATGCCACAAAAGGGGGGCGATTACTAAAGGAAGCCTGGTTCTCAGACAAGGACTCAATTAATCGCCACGTTGATCTCTGCCCATCACAGCAGGCTTTGAGGAAATGGAGCAGGAACTGCCACCCCACTCGCCGCAAACAATCCGGCTGGCACTTACGAAACTCCGACAATCAGCTGAGGAGCCCACTGACATCGAAGGCGGATAAGCATCCATCAAGAACTGAGTGCTCCCTAGAGAGCGTAAGAGGGGGAGCCCGCCGGACGGGGGACTTCTATGTTCTCCAACGAACCGGCCACACCAGCAAGAGATCCGGAGCAGCTGGCGATGAGACTTTCGAGCCTAACGTTGCCTATGTCAACGAAGAGGAGCGATTCGGATGGAGAATGGGAGGAGGTGTGAAAGTGCCTGTAGAAGAGGGAAAGAGGAGGGGGAGGAGGAGCAAGAAGAGACCACTGATTTACAATCAAGAGTGGGGGAGGGTGTTTGGGATCACAATGGAACAAACGATGGTATGGAATGGAATTACCCCGTAACCCATAACAGAGAGAAAGACAGCATGGGGATAAACAGTATTAAAGAGGAAGAGGGAAAAAGGGTCCGAACAAAGTTAAGAACTAGCACTGTGAGAACAAGCAAGAGTGCTCAAAAGAGTGATAGGGGAGAATTAGATGCAGATGCCAGAGAAACGACCAGAGTGCAGGTTAACCGGCTAGGACCGATGACGCGCTCTAGGAGCCGGGTGCAAACGCTAGCCAACCTTATTTAAGGTGTTTCCGATGACTGGCTTTTAACCCTGATGATGTTGGGAGCTCCCACCGAAAGCTTGGTTTTATTAAAGTATTTTCTTACTTGAATCCTCCTGGTGATCGTAAGTTATTTATTTTACAATATGAATATACCCAGGAGTCACATTTTTACGGACATTATCTATCATTATGATAGAGCAGTATTGCTCGTGGCCAGAAAATGGGAAAAACTAACGCATCACATCTCGGCTTGTTATCGCAAAATGGCGTTTTTGCACACTTGCATCCAAGAGAACCTGCCACCTAAATCACTTAGAAGAAGACCCGCAGTTGACTCCACTGAATGCCAACAAGCGGTCCGGCAATTTCAACGCCGGACGGTACGTGCCCTCATCAATGACCAGCATAGGCGCATGGAAAATCTTAAGGCATGGGCCCAGGACCATCGAGGACGTTGTGGTATGGCCCTTACAGAACATCATTTTCAAGCGCTAAACCATCATATTCGGACGGTGGCGAGGAGAACTAGTCAGGAGACGGCGGCGCGCCTCCGACGTAACATGGATATATTGCGTGTGTTAGAGAACTTTAATTTCTCTATTGGTGAAAAATAAATCAGAAGCTCTCACAGTTGACTGCATTTAGCTGATTCAAATAAACTCTTTATATTCATATCAAAATATTTACAATACCATACATTCTTCTTCACAGCAACATAGCATAAATGAAGACTTCTTACAGAGAGATGCAGAGACCTGAGACTGAAACTGAAACCCAGCTTCTAACTCAATACCTTTTGCACAGACTCAGTAGCACTTTACTCACATTGGCTGACTGAGTTACCACATGACTCTTCCTGCTCATGAATATTCCAACACTCCTCCCTTCATGACAGGAAGAGACATCAGACCTATTGACTCAATACATTTTCCATAGTGAACACCACCCAATGGTTTTTCTGTATCTCTACACCAAGATATTATATTATTTCTCCCAAATTCTTTAGTTCGAATTTCCTTCCTAATTTATCAGCAAATTCCTTGACTTGTGATGCATCCTTTGCAATGAAGCAAAGATCATCCACAAATGATAACAGTAGACAATTCCCTCCTTGTAACTGTCCAGTATATATATAATTATCAGCCTTGCAACTCTTAAATCCAAGACCCTTTAAAGCAGTATCTAAACAGATATTCCAGTTTCTGGCTGACTGCTTCAGCCCATAAATAGCCATGTTAGGCTTTGCAATTTCATACCCTGGTGCTTGGATCATATAAATTTCTTCCTCTAACTCAGCATTGAGGAATGCAGTTGTGATATCAAAGTGGCAGATTTTATGTTTATATGCCGCTAATCTTATACTCTCACTTTTCACAGTTGGTGCAAATACTTCATCGTAGTGCACATTCTTTAATTGTGAAAAACCTTGTGCCACTAACCTGGCCTTATACTGTACATCATTATTTGGCAATACTTTTTTCTTATATACCCACTTACAACCTACAGCTTTGGTTCCCTGTGGCAAAGTCACTGATTTAAATACTTCATGGTCTCCCATGGATTTCATCTCTTTATCCATGGCCTCCTTCCATCTTTCTTGTTCAGCCTTTGGTAATGCCAACACCTCTTTATAACTTCTTGGCTCATACCACACATTGCAAACCTTTACCTTGCTGGCAGAATACCTGTCAGGCGGAATTCCTTTGTTACATCGCTCTAACCTACGTGGTAATAACTGCTCCTGTGTCTCAAGTCTTTCTGGCTTCATGTCTTGTTCAGCCTCTCCTCCCTGAACATTGACAACTTCAATAATCATCTTTCCATCATTAGATGAGTTATTGTCACTAAACAGATCACCATCATTAAGTGAGATATACCCAGAATTAACATTAATCCTGTCCCAATTTTGTTCTGCAAAATTAGCAGACCTTGAAATTACAACTCTTTTATTTCCATCGCTAAAGCAATATCCTTTTGACCCTGGCTCATAGCCCACAAACCTGAGCTTTCTTGCCTTTTGCTGTCCCTTTCTTCTGATTGCTTTCGGAATATGTACCCATGCAGTACTTCCAAAAATTCTCAAATGTGCCAGTGATGGCTTTCTCCCATATAGAATGGCATATGGAGTATTATTAATGGAGGAACTCCACAGTCTGTTAACTATATAATTGGCAGTCAATATGGCTTCTCCCCAATAGGACCTGCTCATACCAGAATCCTCTAATAATGAATCTTTCATTGTTTGCAAAACACCATTCCTTCTTTCAGCTACACCGTTCTCTGCTGCTGAGTAAGGATTTGTACGTCTGTGTCTTATCCCCAACTGCCCCAACCATTGTTGCTTGGTTTTATTAAAGTATTTTCTTACTTGAATCCTCCTGGTGATCGTAAGTTATTTATTTTACAATATGAATATACCCAGGAGTCACATTTTTACGGACATTATCTATCATATGTATATATGTTCAATAATGCAATCTTCGATCTCCGGGAGAGGTATAAACCAGTTGTTTATTGTTAAAACAATATTTAAAACAATAAAAACAGCTATATACAAAGTTAAAAAACAACGTAGCTTTTGCTGGTCCTCTGCCAGCATCCTCAGAGTGAGGCTCAGGGGGTGGAGAGGTTCTTTTTTATACACCTTGCTGCTCCAACTGTTTACTCATTGCCCGTGTGACAGGGCCATTCTTCCTGATTAGCTGTAATTGCCTTAGTCGTCCCGCCCTCTCTTTTTTGCACTCCAATTCTGCACTTTTCTCCTCTGTCATCCCTGTCAATCACCCCCCTCTCCGCACCGCCGCTGCTGGTGTGCTCTTCAACTGCTCCCTCCTATTCGTTCCAGGGTGCGCCTTCCAACCCGGTATTACAAGAGTCTTGCCATCAGGGTTCCCCTCCTTTCTGGCCTGCTGATCTACATACCGTTCCTGCCTTCCGTCATCCGTTCCTATCAATCTTCCTTTATCCGATTTCCCTCCCCCCCTGGGTGTGCGCACGTTCCCTCGTGCCTCCCCCTGCTCCATGCGCCCACTTGCTGCCTGTGTTAGGGCCATTCTTCCTGATTGACTGTAACTGCCTTAGTCGTCCCACCCTCTCTTTTGTGCACTCCAATTCTACACTATTCTCCTCTATCATCCTTGTGAATCCCCTCCCTCTCCGCACCGCTGCCGCTGGTGCGCTCTCCAACCGCTCCCTCCCACTCGCTGCGGGGTGCGCTTCCCGATCCGGTGTTACAAGAGTCTTGCCATCGGGGTTCCCCTCCTTTCTGATCCGCTGATCTACATACTGTTCCTGCCTTCCGTCATCCATTCCTATCAATCTTCCTTTCTCCAATTTCCCTCCCCCCCTGGGTGTGCGCACGTTCCCTCGTGCCTCTCCCTGCTCCGTCCTCCCACAATCGGTGGGGATGCCTATCGGCTTGCTCTTGGGCTCAATCTCTCCCGTCCTCACAAGCTTCATCCCCCCCAATTTCCTTTCACACCTGGCTGTGCGTGCGCATGATCGTGTCCCGTCCCTCTGCCCTGTCTGCCTACGGTCAGATGGAATGCCCGCCGGCTCCTCTTTAAATCCAACCTCCCCTCCTTTTTTATTTCTTTCTCCCTCCTTCTCCCTCCTGGTTAGCCCCATCTCATTGGGCATCCCCGTCATACGCGTTTTAGGTCGTACAGTCGTGTTCAACACTCCCAAAGCCCCTTCCTGGTCACCTCCCCCCTGCGGCCCTTTACCATACTCACGTCCTCCCTCCTTTTTGCCCCCACCTGTCCATAATTCCAATGTTTCACCATCCATCCCTATCATCCCTGTTTCCTCCAAATCCTTTCTTTGCCTAGCCATACAATGAGTGTCTTCCCCGGTTCTAATTCTGTCTCTGGCAAGCGATGTCTGCGTCCTGACTTGCTCCTCGTATACTCTTAGCGCCTGGTACGCCGGGGGCAATTCTATGCATTGATTGATAGAATCCATGTTGGAAAGCCAGGCCTCCTTTAACAGGTGTCCTCCCTTGGAGGCATCCTGGGCGATGGCTTCCGCTCCCTTAAAATCAAATGAGTGCTCGTTATTAATCATATGGGTCCATATTTGGGAATACTGCTCCTGCCTTCTGATGGCCAGTCTATGTTCGTGTATTCTAGTTTTTATCCGTTTGGCCGTCTCCCCCATATAGTTGCATTGGCAATCTTTGCAGCGCACCCTATATACGACCAATGACTTTTCCTCCTTTGGCAATGGCTCCTTGGGATGCATCGCTTTCATCCGGAGTGTTTGATTGGGTCGATGAGACACTTTGATGTTGTAGGGCGCCAATATGCGTGCTGTTGCCTCCGATACTCCCTGGACATATGGAATCGTTGTCCAGGATGTTGTCCCTGGATCATCCGGTGCCCTGTGGGGTTCTTGACATTTACTATATCTTCGGATGAAGCTGGTTGGGTAGCCATTCCACCTGCACACCTGATGGAGACAAGCACGCTCCACTTGCCTAGCTTTCTTGGTACTGCAGTGCGTGTCTATGTGTGCGAATAATGTCCTCATGCATGAGATTTTATGGGCTGCTGGATGATTACTCATATAATGCAGCATCCTATCAGTGTGAGTGGCTTTCCTGTATACCGTCGTGTGAAGGGCACCATTGGTTTGGTGTGTAATCCACACGTCTAGGAAGGCCAGGCTACCATTGGTTTCCTCCTCCGCCATGAACTGTATGTCCGGGAATATTGCGTTTAGTTTCTCCATGAAGGCAGTTTTTCTCGTTTGTTTAATAATGGCGAACGTGTCGTCCACATATCTGGCCCAGAATTCCGGTTGGTAGTCAGCCATTGCCTTGGCTTCCAAGCACTGTAGGACCACTTCAGCGATGATCCCCAAAATAGGGGATCCCATCGGCGTGCCCTTGATCTGTTCATATATTGTACCCTGGAATGTGAAGTGTGTTTTCAAGCATAGCTGTAATAACTTGATAACGTCCTCCATCCCAAGGGAACCCTGGCTTCGCAGTCCTTTCAGTTGTAGTAGATCTTTTATAGTCGAGATGGCCAGTTTTTGCGGGATGGACGTGAATAGAGATGTTACGTCAAATGAGACCGTCTCATCATCCTGTATCCTTACCGCTTTCAGCCTCTGTAGAAATTCCTGCGAGGACTTTACTGTGGTCGTACTATCCTCCACCAGATGTTGTAGCTGCCGACTTAGCCATCTAGCCAGACCAAACATGGGCGTACCCCTAAATGCCACAATGGGCCTTAATGGGGTCCCCTCTTTGTGTATTTTCGGCAGGCCGTAAAATCTCGCCATTGCAGTCTCTTGGCCATACGGCTTTCAGACCTTCTTAACCCATTCCTCCATATTTTTTAGGAACGGATGACGGAAGGCAGGAATGGTATGTAGATCAGCAGGCCAGAAAGGAGGGGAACCCTGATGGCAAGACTCTTGTAATACCGGGTTGGAAGGCATACCCTGGAACGAATAGGAGGGAGCGGTTGAAGAGCACACCGGCAGCTGCGGTGCGGAGGGGGGGGTTGACAGGGATGACAGAGGAGAAAAGTGCAGAATTGGAGTGCAAAAAAGAGAGGGCGGGATGACTAAGGCAATTACAGCTAATCAGGAAGAATGGCCCTGTCACATGGGCAATGTGTAAGCAGTTGAAGCAGCAAGGTGTATAAAAAAGAACCTCCCCACACCCCCTGAGCCTCACTCTGAGGACGCTGGCAGAGGCCCAGCGAAAGCTACGTTGTTTTTTAACTTTGTATATAGCTGTTTTTATTGTTTTAAATATTGTTTTAACAATAAACAACTGGTTTATACCTCTCCCGGAGATCGAAGATATATTATAAAACAAAGGTAAAAAAGGATTTATGCAATGTTATCTTCATTTTAGATGTCAAAAAGGTCTCTCTCTCCCCCTCCCTCTTTCCTCTATCTTTCTCTTTCCTCTCTCTCTCTTTCTTTCTTTCCTCTCTCTTTCTTCTCACTCTTTTCTCTCTTTCCTTTCCCTCTCTTTCCTCTCCCCACTCTCTCTTTCTCTCTTTCCTCTCTCTCTTTCCTCTCTGTCTTTCTTTCCTCTCTGTCTCTCTTTCTCTTTCCTCTCTCTCTTTCTCTCTTTCCTCTCCCCTGAAGATTTCTGGTTGCCCCTTTCAGTGACTCTGGGTAGCTTACAGTTCAGAAAGAATTCGGGCAAGTAGCATTTCGAAGGTCAGGCCGGGGCTCAGTCGGGCTCTCATGGGGCGCAATTAGGGGTGGCTCCGCGGAGTCCCGGGCGCCTGACTCATGGAGGAAGCTGGGACTCTGGGAGACATATGGCCGGCTCGGCTGCCAGGGAGTAGCCGGGGAACGGCCCAAGGAGTGATGCCCCCGCCAGTCTCTGCCCCAGCCGGGACTGCCGTCCGGCCCGGCCAGGGAAACTTATGGCTGGCTCGGCTGCCCAGGGACACCCTGGGGAGCGATGTCCCCCGGCTCGGCTGCCATGGAGCAGCCCGGGAACGGAACAGGGAGCGATGCCCCCGCCGGCCGCCGGCCCAGCCGGGACTGCCACCCGGCCCGGCAAGACACGTGGCTGGCTCGGCTGCCCAGGGATGCCCTGGGGAGCGATGCCCCAGCCGGGACTGCCGTCTGGCCTGGCCCAGGAGATGCGTGGCTTGCTCAGCTGCTGAGGGAGTGGCCCGGGGACGGCCCAGGGATCGATGCCCCTGCTGGCCACCCCCCCAGCCGGGACTGCCACTTGGCCCGGGGAGATGCGTGGCTGGTTCGGCTACCCGGGGATGGCCCAGGGAGTGATGCCTCCGCTGGCCACTGGCCCAGCTGGGACTGCCATCTGGCCTGGCCCAGGAAGACGCATGGCCAGCTCGGCTGCTCAGGGAATGGCCCAGGGACAGCCCAGGGAGCGATGCCCCAGCCGGGACTGCCGCCTGGTACAGGTAAGCCGGGGGGGGGTCGTGCCACCTGCCCCGCGGCTGCTTTGCGGCGGCGCTCCGCATACTCAGAGCCCCCTCCCTCCTCTTGCCACTGACCCTCTGTCTCCGGTGCTGCTTGGCCAATGGTCATGCTGGCTGGGCATCACAGGGGCCGCTCTCTCTCAGGACTGTGGCTTGTGGGAGGGCTGGCCCACTCAGCGGAGGCTCCGATGGGCACTCCCAGTGGGGATCCCGGGGTTTCCTCACGCGGCTTCCCAGCCACATGCGCCTCGGACAAGGCCAGCCCAGGAAAGGGACTTTGTGGCTGCCCTTCTCCCAGGGAGCGGGGCACCCAGGCGCAGGGCCAATCAGGAGCCCTGCAAGGGGGCAAGTCTGCATGAGAGAGATATGGCAATATCCAAGTACCACCAGTCGCCTTGTTGTTGTTGTTAATTGCGAAGTTGTGTCCAACTCATCGCGACCCCATGGACAACGTTCCTCCAGGTCTTCCTGTCCTCTACTATCTTCTGGAGTCCATTTAAGTTCACGCCTACTGCTTCAGTGACTCCATCCAGCCACCTCATTCCCTGATGTCCCCTTCTTCTATTGCCCTCGATCTTTCCCAGCATTAGGCCCTTCTCCAGTGAGTCCTTCCTTCTCATTAGGTGGCCAAAGTATTTGAGTTTCAACTTCAGGATCTGGCCTTCTAAAGAGCAGTCAGGGTTGATCTCCTCTAGGACTGACCGGTTTGATCGCCTTGCAGTCCAGGGGACTCGCAGGAGTCTTCTCCAGCACCATAGTTCAAAGGCCTCAATTCTTTGGCGCTCAGCCTTTCTTATGGTCCAACTTTCACAGCCATACATTGCAACTGGGAAAACCATGGCCTTGACTATACGCACTTTTGTTGGCAGGGTGATGTCTCTGCTTTTTAGTATGCTGTCTAGATTTGCCATAGCTTTCCTTCCCAGGAGCAAGCGTCTTTTAATTTCTTGGCTGCAGTCCCCATCTGAGGTGATCTTGGAGCCCAGGAAAATAAAATCTGTCACTACCTCCATTTCTTCCCCATCTATTTGCCAGGAATTGAGAGGGCTGGATGCCATGATTTTGGTTTTCTAGTTGCCTAGCAAGGTGTCAAAAACTTGATGACCAAAAAAAAAGGAAAAAAGTGATAAAGTACAGGTAGTCCTCGACTTACAACAGTTCACTTAGTGACTGTTCGAAGTTACAATGGCACTGAAAAAAGTGCCCCCCCAAGCCACAGCCGAGCAAGACACCTGCCTGCCCGCCTGGCGGCGCTCTTCCTCCTGTCCGAGGTTTCCATTGTTGTGAGCATTTCTGTTGAGGATTGGCAGCGGGGGGTGTTTGGTTTTTATTTCCCCCATCTGCTGGGTGGTTGCAGCAGGTTTTGGTCACTTCACATGACCCTGGGATACTGTGACTATCATAAACATGAATCAGTTGCCAAGCATCTGAATGTAATCACAAGACCCTGGAGATGCTGCAACATTCCAGCTGATCGGCGCTTCTTCTGGGCTCAGCAGAAGCGCCAGGATCAGCGCCGAGCTCCAACTGGAGCCTGGTGCTGATCCTGGTGCTTCCACTGAGCCCTGACAGCCCTGCAGCTCCAGCCATCTCTCGCTCAGGCTTGTGCGGTGCTGCCACCGGTTCAGCTCATTCCCCTCCCCCGCTACCACTTTTCTAGGATGGTCGCGTACCACCTGCCAGGTGCCAATGTACCACAGGTGGTACCCATACCACTGGTTGAAAAGCCATGAGCTAGAGCATAGCAGAATTGTGAAACATTCTTTAGAAAGTTTTCCATTCTTACATTTTTCACCCCTCATAACGAGGCTCCTGTCAGGCATTGCCTTGAAAAAGAGTCCACACTCGTGAGAATTAAAGCTGTCATCATCTTTGACTTTGTCAGCTTTAAGATGTGTGGATCATCTCCCACAGAATTCAAAATGTTGCTGAGATTCAGAAACATTGAGCTAGACAGAATGATGGGAACAATGGATAAAATTCTGATCTACCACACCATTATGGTAAGATCCTGTAACATCCACTCAAAATTCTAAATGTTCCCAGTAAATGACAAGAAATCTTGTTTAAATTATACACTGAATCTGCATTTATAAATGAGATTGAAAAAAACAAACAAGTTCTTGAAATTTCTATACATTTCACATGAATACAACTTTGTATTTTCAAGAGTGATATTAATGTTCAGTGTGCAATATATTCTGGGAGGATAGAAATGAGAACTTCAAACATTGTTATCCCATGCTAAGGTACATGTAAAGAAATTGAAGCTTTCTTTGAAAAAAAAATCAACAAACATAATGTTCCAATGTTCAAATATTACCATTACTTCTATTTTCAAGCGTTCCATACTATTTCTATGATGTCATTTAAACAGCTAATTCCAATTTGCATGAAAATCATTCCTCTTCTGCCAATTAAAATGGCACAGTCTTTGGTAAAATCAATTTCTTTCTCTTCCTCCCACTCTCTCTCCGGTCTCCTCACCACCACATTCTCTCTCTCACACACACATCTTCCTTCAAATATCTGAAATATTTTTACAGAAAGTTAAAGCTACTTACTGATTGAGGAAGGCAAAAAGATATCTTAGTAAGATAATGATCGATCTGGGCAATGTCAGCAAAAGTTTACGTATGTGAAGAGCTCTCTCATAGAGATTTTCTGTTCCTGTAACATCAAATAGAACAATTAGTTATACAGTAGTTGGCTACTGAAAGTATAGAAGAACTTTCCACTGCTGATATGTTGGGCCACAACTCAAGATGTATTGGTTTATATGGCATTTGGCAACTATGGGAATTGTACTGCAACACATTTGGAGAATATCAGATTGGAAAAATATTGTAGGGACTAAATGAGAGTGCAAAGGGGCATATTAATTTGTTCTAAGTTCCAAAGGCTTGTGGATGGTTAATTTATCCAATTAGGATCTTTGTCTATAACAGAAAGGAGAAAAATATGCTTACGTTATGTCCTTAACAAAATGTAGTACATTAACCAAACCAATGGTATTTGGGAGGGGGATGGTCATCTAATAAACTAGCTTAAATATCTATACAAGGGAGACAGTCTGAGTGCTATGTATATAAAACATACAGTATATCTTGTTCTTATTGAAGGGAGAATGTGAACAAGTCAAAAACACTTGTTAAAATGGATGTACATAAATAACTATGATAGCAGTAAGCTGTCCTATATAAAGCTGTTATAGAATAGATATGTCTGGGCAAATAATAAAATTTCATTTATTAAAGTGACCATTCAAAACATATGAAAGAAACAAATTTAACTTACTGACACAAGAAATAAGATCATTAAATCTTTCCTTAGGAAAAATAGGATTCTCCAGCCCTCGGAAATAGAGCTTCAGTACTCCAGCAACTGAGTTAATATCATGGTTACTTTGGTCATCTGCCAAAGGATTTTCACCTACAAAAATAAATCAGATTAAATACTTACAGGTCTTCGATCTTGACAGCCTTCTTCTATATAAGATTCTGAGCTGTACTATATTGGTCATTCTGAAATTAGAATGAATGTAGCAAGAACTAAAATATTGCTCAAATATATATCTTTCCCATTGGGATATGAAGTTTGATTTCATTCTTTCTAATTATAATACAATATAGAGCAGGGGTGTCAAACTGTCGGCCTACAGGCCAGATGCGTCACACCAAAACTGTGTCCACCCCATTGCCGGCAAAAAGTCACAATACGTCACGACACGTCATGTGACGTCTCGAGTTTGACACCCGTGATATAGAGTATAGAGCCTCTTTTGTAATGTTTTAAAAAAATAATAAGTCCCGATCCGGCCTCTGGAGGCACGTGGAAGTGTCCCCCGGCTTCAGTTCCATTCTCTGTTGCAGAGAACAGAGGCCTAAAGTATCATGAGATCACGCGAGATCAATAGCGTGAGATCTCACCCCACTGATCTTGTGTGATCTTGTGTTACTTTAGGCCTCCATTCTCTGCAAATGCACTGAAGGCCTGGATCAGCCAAGAAAGCAAAAGATCTTGATCTTCGCAGGGTGAGTATTGAAGGCCTGGTGCCTAGGGAGACCCGGGGTAGGGGTGGGGAAGGATCGAATAACCAGGGTGAATGTTGCAGAGCATGTGCAGTCGCTCGTATGGGCAAATGACTGCAGTGGTGCTGCAATATTCATAATTTTGGGACTTTCTCATAAGCACTAGGGACGCTTATCGCTTAACTTTGAACGAGTGTTAAGTGAATGCTCATAACTCGGGGATTACCTATATTCTTGAGAAGCTGAGGACTGCATTGGTTAAATATATTGATTTTCATTACTATACAAATATTGATGTATTCAAGTTCACATTTTCTTTGAGGTGAAAAAAGTAATTTAAAAGATTTTAAAAGGAAAACGGTACACAACCAGATGGCCCTGAGGTAGATGGAGGAAGAAGCAGAGAAGGAAGAACCTGCCTATTTAAAAATAACAAAAAATTCAGGAGTTAGCCACCTCTCTTAAGCAATAGTTGTCGCTACCATATCTGGGTTGCAATAATGTGGATGGTTACAAGATGACAGCAGAGCCACATTGAACTCTTTTTGCTGTCATTTAGAGCTTATGAAGTTCAAAGATGGTAGCCTTACCTCCAAAGCCAATATCCAAAGCTATCTAAGCTTTAAAAGATCAATTATGCTAATTTCTTTGTTTTTCTATTCTCTCCCTTTCATAATAATAATAATAATTTAGAAAAAGAACAGGAAAAATGATAAATCACCTCTTTCAAATGAATTTTTAGTATCATTGACCTCCACCTGGGAGCCCGACACCCTGAAAATGCCCTGGTGTTGAAGACCTGAAAAATAATAACAGAGCAATATATAAAATTCAACATAATGTTTCAAATGAGCAAAAATACTAGCATCTTAGTCATTTATTATCACATTTATATATATTTTTCCACCAAGATCCATCAAAGTAGCTTACTGCATTTTGAAATGCAATGCTAACCGAGCAAGAATTCCTTTTCTTGCTTGATCCCGGCCTTTCCTTCTTCCTTTGCTCCATGGCTTAATACCTTCCAATTAATCCTTTCTTATTGCTGTCTGAATTGATATTCTGCCCTTTTTCTTTTTTAGTTTTCAACAATGAAATTTCTTTCATTCAATACTAAAGTTTCAATATTCTTCCTAACTGTAATTGGAAAAAGATTAGAACATGCCAGAAAAAAGCATCATGATTATTAATCACAATAGTCTTTAAAAAAGTGGGATTAAATTAAAAACTATTTTAGAACTCACCATACAAATTGATAAATCGGATACAGCTTTCTACAATGAGGGGGATTACTTGTCCTGAGTCCTGGTGAGGGGAAAAATAATCCAAATAGTTTGAAAATTGTATGAGATAAATAGCACTTAATTATCATTAGGATACAGTGGCATCTTTATAGTATCAGACATATAACACTCTATACATCCAAATCTCACTAGATGTAAGGACCCACTTCAATCCCACATCTTAAGAAAGCAGAACTCTTGGAGACGGTTTCCTCCAACAGGAACTTTTATTAAGCGTAGTTGATAGCAGGCATAATAGACAGGATCTGAGGGATTCCTTTACAGATCGATACTTTAAAGTGTCCCCAAACAAACCCCACCCCACAGTTCATCCGGCCGGTTCAAAACCGGCCAATCCCCAGGTGTTAAGTCCATCGTGGGACTTATTTAACATCGGTCCAGCTCTGGTTGCAGCACGATGTTCAAGCGGCTCTTCGCACCTTCCTTTGGTAACGGAGAAATAAGCCAGGCTCTGGAGGTTGTATTTCTTTCTCCCTCCCTTTTCCTAGCTGACAGGTTAGGGAGAAGAAAGTACAGAGAGAGATACAGTGCAGGAAGCAAATTGTTACACTGTAGGGGGACAGCGGACACAGAAGCAATAAATGAAGCAAAAGGTTACATTGTAGTGAATAGAGGAAAGAAAAGCAATAACCCCCGCAAGCACATTCCCCCTCCCCTTTGGGATTATGGCAGAACCCAGGGAAAGGTGAGATTTGTCTTTAGGTCATAGGGAATAGGTAGAAATGAAATAGAAATGGGTTCTGACATTAGAATGATATCTATACCATATCTATACCATAAAACAAGCTCTTGAGCTAATTGTGTTTTTTTCAATTTGGCCAGGAAGCAAACAACAATGCCCAGTGTCTATAACCAATGCTGTATATTTCTATTGATGGTAGCTAGCAAGTCCTATTTAAGAAGTCTGGTAGATGCAATAATAATAGAAACCACATTGAAAGGAATAAATCTTACCTGCTAGAGTGCTGCTGTTATTGACTTTAATAAATTTTAGCTTATTTATTTAAAAGCTAGGCAATTTTTCATTCTTCATCTCCTGTTCCTCTTTTGATTTGTTTAAAGCATTTTATTATTTGAGGGAACACAATACAACAGAACTGATGTTATTTAATGTCTCATTATTAAAAAAGATATGACTTCAAGATCATATTTAGAATAAAGAAAAACAGAATTATAATATAGAAGGAAAAAGATGATGCAAACTTAGAGGCACAGTGCATAATCTTGCTCCAATAACCCAAGGTTATTAAACTAACGCTCTTATGCCTGAACTGCTTTTACAGATTATATAATAAATTTGGCTATTTATATTTGTGTAACTAGGTGTAACTAGTCCAGAATTGTGGGTTCAGGGACCAATGCCTCACCTTCTTCCTTTGTCACAAATACATGGCCATAAAATTGTTCAAGAGGAAATGCTTGACCAGCAAAATGTAATGGAAAGCTTGTTCAAATATATTATTATTATTATTATTATTATTTATTAAATTTATATCCCGCCCTTCTCCTTGCGGACTCAGGGCGGCTGACAATCGATTTAAAAACATAAATAACAATTACAGAATTAAAATTAATTAAGAAGAAATATTTAAATATAGTCTAATTAAAATATGATTAAAACCCCTCTAAAAATTGCCCTAGGCCAGTCCCGCTTGTTGGAATAGCC